CGCTGTCGAGTAGGCTGTGGTGGTCTACTTCTCCCAAGCCTGATCAGGGGATCTTGCATTCATGAGCAACTCGTGGTAATCATCATTCTCGAACTGGTGTTCAAGATCTCCAGTTAAACCCACAACTCAATGTTCTTTATTCACTGTCTGCGCCAGTTTGTTGGACTCAGCGAATCGTTCAGGTCGAAGCCCCAGAAGACTTCCGAGCGAGTCTTCGACCAGGTGAAACATGTCTTATTCCATGAACGCTTGCAGCCCACCTTTGCCCTGTACCATCGGAGAGCGCCATCCTCTGCACAGTCACGCCATTCTCGTCTCTTAGATGGTTTCGGAGGGAAGTACGTGATCGGGATGATGCGATTCAACCTACCAGACCGTACGCGGTGGAGGGCAACCCTGCCGTGTAGATATTTCGGGACGGTCGGTGAGTCAAAAACGCGTTGCTGCTTTGTTATCGGAATTTCCGCTTCCTGAGCAGCAGCGTGGTACCACTAGACTTGTTCACGTGACGCCTTGGAACGAATACACTCCTGGAACGAACCCACGGAAGTGAGGACCTAGAACGGGTTGTTTTCCAGCCCGCTCTCCAGCACTTGTGAGCGCGATAATGTCGACATGCTTGAATTATTCCGAGATGTCATGTAGTCGCAGCTCGTCAGCAGCTGCCGTATTCTTACAACAAAGACTCAAGATCTGAGGACGTGGGTGCGAGGTTCTGGCCGCGAGGCCATCAGCACTTGCGAGTTACAGTACGCGGATGTGCTGAGGCACTTCTGCCCAAGGTGCAAGAACTCTTGAGCAGTGAGGCTGAAAGAGGAAGGACGAGAAGGACGACGACGACGAGGTCGACGAGGTCGACGAGGTGGAGGTGAACGGCGACGGCGACGACGACGTCGACGAGGACCCAGCCCCCTTCCCCCGACCCCACCGGAGGTATTTGAAATGGGATTGAGAAAAGCTTCGGCCCGGCCCAGCTCACAGACAGGGACTGCTGGGGCCGCCCAGGAGAAGAACAGCTCAGCCTGCCTCGTCCTGCCCCCCGTCCTGGGCCCCCCTCTCCCAGTGAGTTTTGCTGCCGCCCCGGATCCTGAACACCAGAGGTCCCCGGATGTCCCAGCTGCTTCCCGAAGCCCGCCGAGGACCAAAAGCGTGTGAAGAAGATCTGCCCCCTCGACCCTCGACTCGAGGGTCGAGGGTATCCCCATTGCCTCTCGAGTCGAGGGCTGAAAGCGCCTGACACATTTGGCACCCCTCGAACCCCTCGAACCTCGACCCTCGAACCTCGATCCTCGAACCCCGATCCTCGAACCCCGATCCTCGATCCTCGACCCTCGACCCTTGACCCTCGACCCTCGACCCTCGATCCTCGACCCTCGACCCTCGACCCTCGATCCTCGATCCTCGACCCTCGACCCTCGATCCTCGAACCTCGCTCTGTGCTGAACGCTCCTGCCTCCCCCCCCGCAGGTACTTTGACCGGGGGGGCTCGAGTACGTCGGCGGACCCCAAGGCAGCCGCGAAGCCCAAGGCAGGGGCGGCCGCGGCGCCTGCGCCGCAGTTCCAGCAGCACCAGCAGCTGCCGAGCAGCTCCAGCCCCGCGGTCGGCCGGCCAGAGCCGGGGGTCGGGGGTCGCTCGCCATGGAGGAAAAGGGGGTCCTTCCAGCAGTGGCGACGCGTCCGGGCGTGCCCAAAAGGCCTACGAAGCGATGTTCCGAGAACCTCGTGTGGTGTCCACGGAGCATGTTCCTGGAACAGTTCTGGCTGGGGCTGTCTTGTTTGAGCACATCGGGCTTCTGTTCTGAGAACCCTGTTTTTGTCCTGGGAACTTCTGGGGGTTCGAAGAACACTTCGCGGTATAGAACGATGGGAATGCCAGGACGGTCGGTCCCTGCTCACAATGGGGTCCTGAGGGAGCCGGGCCCTGGGTCTTGTGCACCGAGTTCCCCGCCCCCCTTCGGCCCTCCGCGTGCCCCCAGGAGCGTCAAAAAAGCCGAGATCCGGGAGGAAAGGCTATAGCGGATGGAGGACGAGGAGGAGGAGGAGGAGGAGGAGGAGGAGGAGGAGGAGGAGGAGGAGGAGGAGGAGGAGGAGGAGGAGGAGGAGGAGGAGGAGGAGAGAGGGTCCAGGATGGAGGAGGGGAGCTGGTCCTGGGGGAGGAGCCTCGGGATCTGGCACGTCTCCTTCCCAGGACTTCCCGGCCCGGGTGCCAGGTCGCGAGCGGTGGTCGTGGTCCAGGGTGCCCCCAGTTGTCCCCGCCATCTCGAGGCCCCCTTGGGGCATTCGGGGCCTCGCGAGGGGATGTCCTAGCGGCCACCTGGGCCTCCTTAGATCGGCTGGGGCCGCCCTGGGCCAGGGGCCACCCACTTCTGACAGCACCCGATGCTCGCTCCCCCTCCTCCTCCTCCTCCTCC